TAATCTCTGGTTAACGTATTGGCCCCCGACGACAAAGAAGTAATCAACAATCATGCCTCCAAGAAGAAGGGAAACCACCATCAATCGGACCAGCAAGATGGAGGAAAACCTCACGCATCTAGCAAATGATGGGAGGGGAGAAAATCAACCCCCGGTAAGGAATGAAGCTCCACCCCCACTGCCCCCCCGGATATGCCACAGCTTGACCTGGTGAAGATGTAGGCACAGCTAAATACTCTGATCGACTTGGTGCGGGGACTAATGATCGTTGTCGAACGATTGGACGGGAAAAACTCTATGCCGCCTCTAGAAGATGCCCCGAGACCACCGAAAGCTGCCATGGCTGGGAACCAGAATCCTGGTGACCACCAAGGTGCCCCGGAAGGGATCGAGGACAGTAAAAATATCATAGGCAACGAGAGGCCTCGACCGTCTCAATCCCTCGACAGCCATTAAAGGGCCGCTAGACGCCGAGCCCGTGGAAACAGAGTAGCCGGAGGCTTGAAAAACCCTGAAGCGCCACCGCAGAACCCGGAAAGAAATATCCCTAGAGATTCGGGGTCGGTACAAGAGGGCGGAGATTCAAGGGGCGTTCGAACAGCCGACTCCTCCAAGGAGGATTCAACCAAAGATTCATTATAGTAGGAAATAAATCGGCAGGCAAAAAAAAGAGGCGCTAAAACAAAACCTCAACCTAGCTTGAGGCAGTCCAAAGGACAGCATCGACCTGGGGGGTAGATGTTGTGTGAGAAAATATGTGCTGCCACGTCAGTGTGAGAGGGCGGAGCCCTAAGGGGCGTCTGAACAGCCGACCCCTCCAAAGAGGAGAGGCCTCCGAACGGCCGACCCCTCCAAGGAGGAGAGGCCTCCATTAAGCAGGTTCTTAAATCTGCCATGAGCCCTAAGGGGCATCCGAACGGCCGACCCCTCCAAGGAGGAGAGGCTTCCGAACGGCCATCCCCTCCAAGGATGTTTGAGCGATTTAGTTTAGGTGGTTTGAGCTTAAGACAAAAAAAGTATGCAATAATTTATAAAAAATTATAAAATTGTTAAACCGTAAAAATAAAAATAAGATTCAAGTTTACAATATATAACTCAAAAATAGTAAATGTATAAAAGTTCACCATTTAAAGTTTGAATACAAACCAACATAAATAGAATATTGTGTATTTTAAAAGTACAGAACTTTTACTATGACTAATAAAGACTAAAATAAATATAAAACAATATTTTAAAAATTAAAAAATTATATATGTATATTTTTAAGTAGATTATTGGATGGTTTGAGTGGTTTAGGGAGTTTAAACCACATACCAAACCGCTCAAAAAAATTACATTATACAAAAGGCTTATTTATAAAGAATTCTAATAAACTATAAAATAACCATTACCAAAAACAAAAAACAATAACTTATCAAAAAATATAAAATAATAACTTTCTCAAAACTAATTTAAATCAATTACCCAACACTTACATACCCATAAATGCATGGATTTTTACGCAATCAAATAATATTGGAAGAATAAGAACAACCATGTCTTAAAATACACATAGAATATAGATACATTAAATTTTAAACGATTTTCTTAATTTCAAGTGTCCATAACATGTGGATATTTATAAGTTGATTGGCTTTCTTCTTTCTACGTTTTCCATACGACGTTTCTTTTCAACTGTCCATAACATGTGGATATTTATAAGTTGATTGGCTTTCTTCTTTCCATGTTTTCCATACGACGTTTCTTTTCAAGTTTCGATAAAGCAAGTAGTCGATTACTAATATATGAATACTGAGTTCATGATTTATTCCTTATCTGGCTCTTATTTTCCTTCTATTTCTGTCTCTTTTAACTGCATTTATTCTATTCTCCTCTCAAATTCAATCTCTTTACTATAATTTCCATCCAATCAATAAATCAATAACGCAAAAGGAGGGTAGGAAATAGGGGTGGGCGAGCCCCATCCCATTCACATCCTAACACAAAATGTTGTTGTATAATATCTTTAAAAAAAAAAGAAAAAAGAAAGTAGTGATTTAACTATTGTTTAGAAAAAATCTCTCATTTAGATTAAATACATTATTTGCTTATAACCACAATTTATGTTCACCCAAAGGCGAAAAAGCCAAGTGTCAAAAAAAAAAAAAAAACTCTCACATACAATCACATTTAACTTTTTTACTACAGTAAAAAACTCTCACATAAAATTACATTTCAACTTGAATTAAAAACTCGAATCAGCGAACTAAACGGGCCCTAAAAAAGTCTTTCGAATTTACCTTTTCATACGTAATAAATTTCCTCCATTTTGGAGTGTAGGCATTTTCGTTCCATTAAGTTACATTTTAAGATTTTAACTACAGACTTGCTCGAATTACTCTTGGGTGTATTAGATATGGGGTAATCTTAAAAATAAAAATGTAAAATTTTCAAATTCTCATATTTAATATAATTATTAGATTTTTTTAAAATTCGTTCATATTCTTTTATAAAATTTGAGTTTAAATTCGAGTTTGGGGCTAAATTCGAGTTCAAGTTTCTCCTTCAACTCAAGTTTATAAACTTGAACTCAAGTTAATGAACAATATTTTTTCTATTATTAAAAATGTCATAACTTTTTCGTTTTAATTCTGATTGAGATGATTTTTTTTATGCATTCACAACGAAAAGGCGAATAAAACCTCACCCATATATCTTATTAAAATTTTTCATCACTATTGAATTTTTATTAAAATATTATTTAAATATAAATTTAAGTTTTGACTCATCCAAACACAAACTCAAAAAGATTCTCAATTTAAATCATAATTCAAATGTACATATCTAAATACAAACTCAAATTATAACTTTAAATTAAATTATAATTTAAATTTAATTTAAAATCATCACTCAAATCACCTTAACTAAAAAATGTAAAAGAACAACCCTTGCGAAAGGAATCTCGATACCATGAAAATAATTAAAAAAACAACATTATCAAATCAATGATTCACCAACAGACCAGCAACTCCTTCCCTTCCCCACCACCAACGCTACAGACCCGCCGTTGCAGAATAAGGTCGTCGCTACTACCCATTGTCATTGCATCCCACCGCCGTCGCAGCCCATCACGACTGGAGCCTTGCAGTGTCGCATATCCCCACTCCAACAACCCCACTGTTAAATGCGCTCATCTGCACCTATCCTCGCCGGAAGGCCGCGAATCACCAACCGGAGCCCTTAATCACCACCCATCCTCATCTACAGTAGCGATTGCCTCGTCTCCATCCTCACTGTTGCCGATCCGCTAAACTCAGCCCCTCCCAAATCAAGAGAGAGAAACGTGTTTTTTATTTTTTGTTTTTTTAATAAACTTCTCCTGGAGAAAGAATAAGAGGCGTCATATGTTTATTTTTTTAAGTTTATTTGTTTATTTTTTCATAATTTTTAAAATTTAGCACCAAATTTATTAAAATTTTTAATATTTATTCTTTATAATATTTTTTAAAACTAAGGTGTAAAAATTATAATTGAAAATTATAATAACTCAATTAAATAAAATTTAATTTAATTTAATACCATTTAAAATTAATTTTATAAAAAAAATTACATTGTATTATTATGCACAACTAAAACCATAAAATAACATTCTTAAAAATTTAACAAAAAAATTTCTACGCAAAATTAAACATGATAATTTAAATTTCTAAAGAATCATATCACCCACTATCACTTTTATTCACTTTCTAAAGAATCATATCACCCACTATTACTTTTATTCACTTTCTTAGATATTTAATTTCTAACTATCACTTTCATTCACTTTCTTAAATATTTAATTTCTATTGATTATTATGTATTTAATTTTTATTAATTATTGTATACCAAATGCATACCAAACGCTCCTTTAAGACGCTCCTTCTAAGAGAAAGTCTCCTTAAGAGAAAGTCCCGATCGACGGGTTTTAGGTTTATCTTTCGACTGTTTTTGTTTTACTTTTTAAAGATTTTTTTATTGTTTCTTTCTTGTATGCAATGGAATTTTGCAAATCCCATAGTGGATCATCAAAAATATGAACTTCATAATTATAATTTAATAAAGGATAAAAAAATAAATATCCCTGCTTTCTTTTTTTTTTCCGTTAAAAAAAGGGGCATGGCGTTTCAAGATTTATTCAACCTCGACAGCTATTCATGAAACTTGCCGTTTTTTATATATAAGACGGGTTTATAATTCGTTTTAAAATGATTTTATTTTTTATATGAAAATAAAAATAAAAATATTTTTAATTTTAAACATAAATTATTTTTAAAAATAGATTTAATAATTTCATCAAAAATTATTTTTAATATAAAAAATTTATTAATGTCTCACTCAGAGAAAATAAAAACAAAAATAAAAAATGATTAAAAAATATTTTTTATTTTTTTCTCATTTTACACTAAACTAAAAAATCGTTTTTATTTTTATTTTTTATCTTTATTGTGTTAAACGCCGTTTCTCAAAAAACGTAAAAAATAATAACGGGATCAATTCTAAACACGGCAGCCAGCCACCATAGTGTCTTAATTTTTATCTACATACATATACACAATATATATATATATATATATATTTGAGAGCACAAACCAATGGGCAAAATGGTTGTGCAATTCTTGATCGTTGAAAGCATTTGAAAATTGAAACGACCTAATCAAAGAAAGCAGACGCCGCCAATATTTAAATCTACTATTACCACTTCCTTTCCAAAATAAAGGTCAAACACAGAAGAACCACTACTACATGACTTAAAAAGACTAGAACGTAGCAACCACGCATGCATGAACAAAAGCATTAGCTACGCTCTCTCTCTCTCTCTTTTACGACGACCCAGACTCGAAAATTACATGAAGACTAACACGTACGTGACATGACACTGCTAAAACATGACCTGATCTAGTAAAAGAAAGTACAGACAACGTCGTACACAAAACCAACGACGTTATTATTCTCATAAACCCATGCATGCATGACGTCGGATACATGCATATTGATCGTATATATATAGAAACAAAACGAAACGACGACGTTCTAAGGTGGCTTAGCTTTTAGTCCTGAACTTGGACTCGTCGATGGGGATGCCCTCGCGCTGTGCACGCTCCTCCGAAGACTCCTCGCTGGTGCTCAACCCACCCTTGCGCCCCATTTCCTGATACCCTCCTTTGCCCAGCTGCTCCTTCCTCGTCTGCCCTCCTCGGCTCCTCCCTAATTCAAATTAACTCACTAGTGACATAAATATACGAGTAGATACACACACACACACACACACACACACACACACATACTTGTGTGTCAAAATGTAAAATAGTACAAGTGAGATATGAAATAAACCGGATATGCATACCTTTTAGCTGAATATATATATATACACATATACATACATATACTATGTAGGTAATGTGTTATCTGTAATTATCTGTGTAAATACGTGTTTTTAATGGTTATGTTTTTATTTGTGACTCTTTTATGGTTATGACTTTATTAGTTACTATTAGTTACTATTGATTGGTGGTTACTATTGATTTAATGACGTGATGTAATAAATTAATTGTCATAAACTCCTTTAGTTAACTATGTAATTTGTTACGGTTGGATTAATATTTTATAGCTAAAAGAATGGTTGTTATTGAAAGATAAATATGATAATTAATAAGTAAATATTGAAGTAGCCACCGAAACTAATATAATTAACCTTCAGCGAGGTGCTCTTGGGCTTCGAGGCTTTTGCCGCCAGTGCCACCAGGGACGACGGTCTCACCCTGCTTGGCCCTGGCGTCGAGTTCTTGCCTGCTCAGGTCTTGCTGATTCGAAGCCATCTCTCTTACTGGAATCACTCTTCTTACGATCAAATGTTGTTGTTGTCGTCGTCGTTAGATTAATGATGAGGTACTACGCAGGTTATATGTAAGTTTCTTAACTATGATCTGATGATTATAAAACGACGTATACTTCATGCCTTTTATAATCCACCACAACAAGTTGAGAAATATTTTTTTTTCTCTTTTTTTTTTATAAGAGAGAAAAGGGCACAGCTTGTGGGAGCGGTTGACAAGTGTGGGAGTGACGAGTCAAGAAGGGGAAGAGCTGCTGGACACGTGGAGGACTATGGTTTTGAAAGGAATGACACGCTTACACGATGCCTTTTGCCGCTACTCAAAACGACACGAAGGACCCCCACTCGAACGACACGTCAATATTTCATTTGTCTCTTTTGTTTCAGTTCCAGTGCCGATTGGTGAGAAGATTGGAGATGCAAAATATATTTGTTTAGATAAAACTAGTGGAATTCCCGCGCGTTGCTGCGGTATTTGATGTTGTATCATATAAAAGAGTTTTTATTATTCTAAATATAGTTACAAAGATATGTATATATATAAAATGTCTATTATTATTACAAACGTAGTTCTAAATATATATAGATATAGTATCATAATTGGAAATATATTTATATATACATTGTAATAGAGTAACGCCTATCAGATTCAATACGCTATCTTTTTTAACTGCAAAATAGAAATGTTAGGAAATCATAATAAGTCAATACAATATATAAGTAGCTTGATAAAGTATTTATATAGATAATGTATAATAGAAGATGTAAAAAAAAAATTTATTATCTTTTCTTTTGCCGTTTTGTAGAAGATTCTTTTGATTTTGATTCAGAGCTAAAATTAGAAAAAACTATTTAGATGTATATTTAGAAACGTTTAGAATAATTTTTATAGTAAATATATTTTATCTTGCGCCTGATCTTTTGAGAATTAGAGTTTGTGGATTGATTGTCATTGGTGATGATATAAGTGATGGACTTGTTTGTTCATGGCTGAAATGAAAATAAAAAAATTATTTTATATATTTATGTTGTTGGCATACTTTTTGGTGGTAAAGGAGATTGAATGTCTTCAAATATTTTAAATGCAACAACTGATATTTGGTGGCCCCTTTGTTGAAAGTAGACTTGGAAGATTTTTATTTGTCCACGGAGCAGATCGATGATTGGTGGAATTACATATGGATCAGTATATCCTTCGTCAATGGTTAGTGCAAAACATGGCCTTTTAATTAGTGCCTGTGTTGTTTTGCCAAATATAGTAATATTCATATCTCCAGTATTATCTTCAATTTCGATATTTAATTTGTACCTATAATATATATATATAGTATAAATATGGTAATTTACCATGGAGATGGCATTGTCTTGATATGACCATGACTATCACACCACCAACCAATTCTTGATTGTTTTAATTGTCGGTAGCAGGTGGGGCAAGAATTGTAATACCAGCCTTGATTTGTCGAGATTCCTGTTATTGTAGCTCGTATTGTGAATCGTGTGGACTGTATATGTAAGAGAATAATAATTAGTTGAAATTTTAAAATAAAAGAAAAAGAAAAAAAGAAAAAATTTAATAATACTAAACAGTTGATTTCAGGATCTAATGTTTGTAATTCAATTATTGTTTTCCTGTTTTCCATTCTCTGTTCTTCAATAGATTGGATTGGTGTTTTCGGTGCTGGTAGTAATTCTATTTCTTGGCTTTGCTGAGAGAATCTATGTATATATAATAAATTGATGATATAAAAAATAATAAAATATTTAAGTTTGTGTTATAAATAATATATATATATATAGATATATTCTATAGTAATAATTTTACGTTGTTTTCAATGTAGCAGTTTCAGGAATATCTGGATTGATGTAAAAAATTATTGCAGAAGTGCTAGAAACATATGGATTGACTAAGATATTAACATAAGTATTAATAATATAATGATAAATATTTTATGTTAATATGTTTAATAATTATAATAAAGTGATGTGAAATATACCTAGATATTGTTTGACCAACATTGCGGCAAAAACTGCTACAAGGGGAGCTTGAAGTGATTTGATAACATTTTCTTCAAATTTGTCTGTCTTTTGTCCCCATAAGGTAACCTGAAGCTGTTCATTTCTATTGGAAAAGTAAAAAAAATGTTCAAACATTTAGAAATAAATATTTAAAATGATGCTGATACGTTTTCTTTTTATTTTTTTAGGAAATTTTTTTATCGAAAGTAAAATAAAATGTGTGAAAAATTTATGTACCTTATATTTTGTATCATAATTGTTTGGCGTGTTGTTGGTCTGCTGTTTATATTTATATGTTCCAGTGCTTGGATACTTGTTATAACTCCAATAACATCTAATGTGAAATAAAAAGTAAAATAGAATTAAAAATAAAATATGGTATTGTATTCACAATAATGTTGTATATTACCTGTTAAAAGTTCAGTAGTATGAACTCTTTGTTGTAGCTGATCAAAATCAGTGAAGTAAAATTTATGGAATGGAATTGGTGATGCTTCGTCTACAACAGGAATGAAAGATGTTGCACGTGCAAATTGAATCATTGCATTGTGTGGAACTTTATATGTTGGTTTATTTGCATCATTGCATTGTGTGGAACTTTATATGTTGGTTTATTTGCAGTAACATAAAAGTTGTTAATGATGTACATGTTGCCTTGCCGGATTTTTTGAGAATGATGTCTATAACGTTATTTGGCATTACATCTTAATGAACAAATTAATTTTTTTATACAAACGTATTTGGCATTACATCTTAATGAACAAAATATTTTTTTTATACAAATGTATAATAATATACAATTGCCGCATATTTATAAATGTAAGAATAAATTATTTATAAATATGAACAATAAACTAAATAAATGAAATATATAAAATTGTAAAAATAATATGCGAATACAAAAGTAAATTCATACATATAATTATTTTCTTCTTCAGAGATGCTGCAACAATATGATAGTATTTTGTAATGTAATATAAATACAGACTTAATAAAGTAGGAAAATTTATTAGACATAAGTCATAAAATATTAAAAAACAATAATATATTTTAAAACAAAATATTACATAAAAAATTATTTTTAAAAATTGTATAAAATAACTATAGCTCAGGTGTAACTTTTTTTCAGCATTATGTGACAAATATAATAGAATTTAATATATAATGCTAATATGTAGCTATCCATGCAAGTGTTTTTAGATGGGAAAAAAACACTTGCGGCAACTGCATAAAATCATAAAATATATTAAAACATTATATATGTCACATAAATCAAGAACGACAAAAGGAAGAAAATATAAAAGATTTAACTGCAACAAAGGCTTTGATTGTCTAAAAACTACCAGGTGATACTATAGAGAAAGAAAAAACATTATATAAAATAGTACAAAAATAAATGAAAAAGATTAATTTTCAGAAAAATAATAGTAAAGCTTGAAAAAATATGTACAAACGAATATAACAAATATATGGAAAAAAAACGTTATGAAAAAAGTGTTCTAAAATCAGTGAATATACACTTGACAGATTGAAAGAAAAAATTATTGTTCATAACACTGTACAGTGAACAGTACCGCCGAAGAGTTTGCTTTATGTTATTTAAAATAATAGTGGTAAGTAGATCATAAAATTATGAGCAGTTTTGTAAGATTAAAATACCAATGGTATTAGAATAAGTCTAAGTAAAGAAAAACATTGGAAAGAAAAAGCAAACTGTATTAGTAAACAAAATTTAGGGAAAAAGTTGATTCAAAATAAGGATAATATATTCACAGCAATTTTTGGACAATCTATGTGATGAAAGAGGATATATGAACATTTTATGACATCATCATCGCTACAGTTCAAAAAATATTAGAGTAAAATATGTAAATCAATGAAAAATATAAAATTTATTTGTAGCTAAAATCAAATAATGTGTATGTATATGCAAACTTCAGATTTAAAAACAATGTATAAAAAATTAAATGGTTACAATACGTAAAAGGAAATATATATATATATATGTATATATCTAAATAAGTATATCAAATAGTTAGTGACAACATAAAACTTGTTTAACAAAAAATGGTTAAGAATAAAAAAGATTAACAATGAGCAATACATGATAGTAACAATTGTTAAAAATCTATTAAAGTATAGTATGAACAAATACTCTTGGATCAAAAAAGTACATATTACTATCAGCATATTCTACCTATATATAAAAGAACAGCAGCAGATGGTACATAAATGAGGGTAAAAAATATTAAAAATACCTGGAGTGCTGCCCAATAAATGCTGAATATATATTAAAAAGAGATGCACAAATAGCAATAGAAAGCAGCAAAGCACTGTTAATGGGGCACACTACTAAAGGATCGAGAGGGCAAGTATATTTGATTTTCAATGTCCAGCACCGATTCTACTACGAATAAGCAAAATACAACATAAAAACATTATTATATATTAAATATTTAACATGAGAAAGATGTTTTATAAAAAATTGAAATATAAATAGTCTATACAATATACCTAGCTTAATAAATACATGATATACACGTTTTCCATCAACTTATAGAACAAATTCTCCTATGACATTGTCGAATTCAGTAAAGACGGAAAAAAGACACTCATTTTAATTAACATATGTAAAGGGAAAAATAATTAGAAGCGAGATTAAGTAAAACACAACTTATGCAAAACATATAAACGTATAGAATAGTAACTCCGAAGAGTCTCCTTAGAATACAAAAGTTGAAAGATAAAGCTATAAAACGAAAATAAAGTAGGCAGCAGTAAAAACAACCAACTCACTATTAATAAAACAATTTTTTCTTTGACATTCTTCAAATCAATGTAAAAGAATCTATTTAAACTCTTATAGATAAACATATAGAACGAAAATAAATTAGGCAGCAGTAAAAAAACCAACTCACTATTAATACAACAATTTCTTCTTTGACATTCTTCAATTCACTGTAAAAGAATCTATATAAACTCTTATATGTAAAAAATATTGCAGTGAGTATTTAATTTTAGTGTCAAGAGAACATAAATAAAATATAAAAATATTTATTAGTTAGTTGAGTCAGGTATTTATCTTCTAATCTTACCTATATATATATATATCATATGGAACTAAAACAGAACCTAACAACGTTATTGGCTACCATTTAAGTTATTATAGAATTTATGGAAAATAACCATAATAACTCGGGCAACAGCAAAAACAGCCAAGTCTCTATAAATAGTCATATGATACATGCTCATAACCAACATATAGTAAAATACTTTAAAAAATATACTCTTAAAAACAGAAGAAAATTAGAAATGAAAAAGATATATTACCTTTTACAAAGAAGTACGCCGAGTAAAGTAGATATAAGAGAAGACCAAATATTGGGAATGAAAGAGAAACGGATTATCGAACAGATTGTAAAAAAAGTCTAAGGAGACTCTTCAGAGTTACTGTTATAAGATAACAGATGAGGCTAGAAGGGATAAAATATAGGTAAAGAAATAACATAAAACGAACACACATATATATAGACATGAGGTAACTGAAATCTTGATAGAAGACTGAAACCAAAACATACGAAAAAATGTAAACGAAAGTAATGATTATACTATGGCAAGTGTCATTAAGCATGGACCGCACCGCAAAATGCAACCAGTAAAAAACTAACAGTAAAATATTAGATTTGTATTAAACAGAAGTGAAAGAGATAAAGTATACGTGTCATGATATAACAGTAAAGAACCTTGTGCAATTTCGTATATAAACACCTGCAAAAAAATATCAATTAGAATAATAGGTATATTACGACAGATGTCATCAAGTATGAGTTTCACTGCAAAATAAAACCAATTCTAAATAAATCCAAAATGATAGCAAAATATTAAAGAGAAAAAATAAAATATATACAGATAATAAATAATAATACGAAAAAGACAATTAAAAAAATAACGAAAGAATGAAACAATTAAGCGACAAAGGAAATAAATGAAGCAACAGATTTGAAGAAAAAAAAAATCCAGATAAAATAAAAAAATATATAGAAGAAACAGTAAAAAAATACATACAAAAAAATACCAAAATAACTAAAGAAAAAATTAAAGCAGCAAAATCATAACAAAAATACCAAAAACTAATAAAAAAAAGAAACAGATCGAAAAAAAAATGAAAAAGGGAAAAATTTCTAACGGACAAAAGAAAGACAAAATCAGATCTGTATCTAAATAGGTAGAACAAAAATCAAATGAGCAAAACTGTAAACAAAATACACCGAAAAGGGAAAATAATATCAACAATCAGAAAATCAGATCGGAAAAAAAATGAAAAAGGAAAAATTTTCTAACAAACAAAAAAGATAGAGAAACAGATCTCGGCAAAAAATACAAAAACATATCTCGGCAAAAAAATTCCCAAAATCAAAAAAAATTACAAAGAATAAACATTAACATATATCATATCGTTAAAAAACACAGAAGATAAAATTTCTTAACGGACAAAATAGAGACAAAATCGAAAGGAAAATGGAAGAATCAGAGAAGAAATGCATAGGACAAATATCAAATCACGCAAAAACGAAGAAAGGAAAAAAGGCAGAGAGCAAAAACTTGCAGAGGAAAATGAATAAAAGTTTTAAAAATAAATCATATCGGAAAAAAAAATGAAGAAGGAAAAAATTTCTAACAAACAAAAAAGATACAGAAACAGATCTCGGCAAAAAATTCCCAAAATAAAAAAAATTACAAAGAATAAACATTAACATATATCATATCATTAAAAAAATGCAGAAGATAAACTTTCTTAACGGACAAAATAGAGACAAAATCGAAAGGAAAATGGAAGAATCGGAGAAGAAATGCAAAGAACAAATATCAGATCGCGCAAAAACGAAGAAAGAAAAAAAAAGGCAGAGAGCAAAAACTTGCAGAGGAAAATGAATAAAAGTTATAGATGCAACCATGATGAAGTTCTAGCACATTTTGTAATTAAAAGTCATGTAAAAAAAAAACCCCGCAAGAAATAGATGAAAACGACATCAGGCAGGAACTTGACGTAAACAAACAATAAAGGAAAAAACCGTAAATACACATTTAAAAGGTTAAAAACGGAAGTTCACTGTTCATAACACTGTACAGTGAACAGTAACTCCGAAGAGTCTCCTTAGAATATTTAGAATTGGTGAGGCCTGTTTGGTTGAGAGATTCAAAGATTTAAATCAGGGGATTCCGGTTAAATCAGTGTTTGGAAGTTCAAAGTAGGTTTCTGATTGAGATCATTTTGGGGCTCTGATTGAGATCATTTTAGAATCAGGCCCCCCCCTGATTTTACCATTGAAATCCAAAGTGCACAGTAAAAACACTGTGCGGAGTAATGCACCATACCCACTTTTCTGAAATCGCATTTCTTCTCGTGCCTAGGCAGAGAATCTGCAGGCCTCTTCTCTCCCGTGCTCAGCCTTTTTCTGAGGACGTTCTTCCTCTTCTTCCGCTCTCTTCTCGTCGTCTGATCAGATCTACAAGTGCCAAATCGGTCGGCGTTGATGAGAAG